TTCTTTTCTACTCCTTGCCTCTGACATTCAACAGGCATCAAAATAAGAGATGTCCATACTAACATTAGCTGGCAAGTCTACATTCTTGACAACGGAGAGTTAACTTCGTACCAAGTCAATGTTATCATATCATTTCTAGATCTGTAGAATCAAAATACATAGATAATCCATTTTCTTCATGATCACTGTCCTTTGTAAAGATAAATTATACAGAATCAAAGAATCCTAGAAATGAATCTAGCACTTGGGTCTTCCAAGGAGACTAATTAGAAGTCATAATTGAATTGATTTCCCCAAATGATGAATAGTCAAAGGCTATGGATAGGCAGTTTTCAGAGGAGGAAATCCAAGCTATCAATAGCTATATGAAAAAAAAATGCTTTAAATCACTAATAAGTAGAGAAATGAAAATTAAAACAACTCTGAGGTACTACCTTACAGGTATCATATTAGCTAAGATGACAAAAAAGGAAACTGACATGGTGGAGAAGATGTGGGAAAATAAGTACACTAATGCATAGGTGGAGCTGTGAACTATTCTGGAAAGCAATTTGGAACTACATGCAGAAAGCTATTAAACTGCACACATCTTTTGACCCAACAATACTGCTACTTGGTCTATACTCCAAAGAGATCAAAGAAAAAGGGAAGGGATTCATATGTACATAAATATTTATATCAGCTCTTTTAGCAGTGACAAAGAACTGGAAACTGAGAGGATGCTCATCAACTGAGTAATGAATGCACAAATTATGGTATATGAACGTTATGGAATCTCCTGTGCCATAAGATGATGGGGATGGTATTAGAAAAACTTGAGAAGACCTGTATGGACTGATACAGAGTGAAGTGTGAAGAATCAGGAGAACAATTTATACAGTAACAGCAATATTGTAAAGATAATCAACTTTGAAAGACTTAGTAACTCTGATTAACCTAATGACCAACCACAATTTCAAGGATTTATGATGAAACATACTATGCAGCTCCAGATAGAGAACTGATGAATTCAGAGTGCAAATTGAAATGTATTTTTTTGTTTCCTTCTTTTTCTTGCTGCCTCCTCCTTCCAACCCAGAACATGGCTAATGTGAGAATTTGTTTTGCATGACTATACATATTTGTAATGAGTTCTATTTTTCTTGCTTTCTCAATGGTTAGGGAGGGAAAAGGTACAGGGAGATAATTTGAAATTGAAAATAAAATAAAATTGAATGAAGAAAAAAAGAAAATTTATGTGATTCTTAGTATCTAACACAGGGAAGGAACTTAATAAATATTTGAATAAAAAAAAACAATTGAATTGCCCCCAAAATCTCCTACTTTACATGTAGAGAAAGAAGAGGTTTAAATGTACTCAGATTGTTTTAGATGACAAAACCCAAAACCTTGTAAATTTGAAGATGATTAGGAAAATACTGGAGGTGAAATTATTCTGGTAGGTTATTTCAATTACAACATGTCCAGGATTTTTACTTGGTTAAATTGTATTCCAAAACATGCTATGGAACATTTAACATGCACTTCTTTTTGACTGATTCTTAAAGTACACATTTTTTTCTTTTCACAAGCATGCATCTGAATGTTTTGCATTTTTAGCTGCCATGAGGCCTAAGTTAAATATTCCGTATGTTCACTGGCATGTTAATGTACAATTGAACAAATATGTACAAAACCACCTACCATTGTCACTGTCTCCTTCTGATGGAATATTGTAGCTATAGTTGTCCCATGTTTGTGCCTGTGTAAGTTTGTTGAAGGAGATAGGAGGAAGAGTGAGGGATGGGTCTGCAGGAGAGGAGTGAGAGAATTGGTCCACATATAGTTGCACAGGGACCAGGGAAAAAACCAAAGGGGCAGCAACATTTCATAAATGGCATTAGGAATGCATGGAAATGAAAAGGATTTAATTTATATGAGATTAATTAAAATGTATAATATTGGAAGAGAAAGATGAAAGATGGTTCATGAAATAAAAAGAATGAATAAAAATTGAGTGTTAGTAATTACCACAGATTTTTCCATGCACTTAATATTGTTAATATTACCACAAATGTTAGAGCAGTTATCTTCGTCAAGAGTAAGTTGCAAGAAAGAGTACCCATAGATTACACACAAACAAGCCAAGGGATGCATTTATCAGAAATCCTCCCAAATAACTGACGCTTGCAAAAGAGAAAACATGAATCCCACGAAAACTAATTACATGGTATAGTACCCGTGTAGATGTGATTATTCAAAAAAAAACTATTTATTTACAGAAGTAGTATTAGTTATACATGAAATTCTACAAGGTAATATTGTATTTCACTTCTCCAAAATGAGACAACCTTGAAATCCAAGTATCTGTGAGTCAATCATTTGGCAACTAATAAAATAATCTGTATCTTATTCATCTACATACTAGATTCATATGATAAGCAAATATCACTCCAAGTCTCTATTTTATGGGTCAGGGGAAACTAGGGGAATCAAAAAAAGTGGTGTGGTCTTAGTGAAAATTTATTTGGTTAAAAATTATCTTTTAAAATATACATAAGATGTAAAGAAAAGTGTCTTGGGGAAAATACAGTAGCGCCAAAAGAGAACTCCAAGTGCTATTCAAATTCATTGATTCTTGACAGTGCTTTAGCCTCTGAGAAGCTATCTTTAAACTTAATAAAAATAAATGGCCAATCTTAATAAAAATAAAACGTTTTAATTAAACAACAAAAATCTCCACATAATCTAAAGTTGTGTGCACCAAATTTTAATTCATACTTTCTCTAAAATTATGTAATACTTTGCAAAAATGAGAAAACATCTGATGTAATTTTTTTAAAAAAGGATTAAAAATGCAGAAAAATTCAATATGTAAGATTCAGTTGTGTGACCTGGTACTCCTTAGGATGGTAGCGTTATGTAGAGTAATTAAATGCCATGGCTTTTCAACAATTCCCATGCTTTCTGAGTTAACTATTCTACATTCTAGAATATGGAAAGGTTCCAAAATCCATGGGAAAATTGTCATATCTATATATTATATTTCAGATGAATAAATGTCTTATTCATGTTTCACCACTACAAAGAATTTGAAATGGATAGTAGGCTTAAAATTTTAGGCCCTAGTTAAATTTATTAAGAATTTTAAAGATCCCCCAAAATTAAATCATCTAAAAAGCAATCTGCTAGACAGCAAGTTAGTTAATACAATAAAGAGGACAAGACAAAAAATAGAGTCTATTGTAAAGGAATGGTTACCATATAATGTACTATCCTTCAGATACAGAGAATAACTATTAATTCATCATTAATAGGCTACAAGATCTACACTGTTTTTTCAGTGGTGGGACTAGGTTTTCATTCATCCATTGACACTTTCACACCCAGCCCTCCTAGTAACTATGGGCACACATCTGCAAAACAGCTGGCTAGGGCCATAGAGATATAGTCTACATCTACATGGAGATGTAGTCTATATCCATGGAAGTAGGCCCACATGGCTTTCAAACCTGTATCCTCAGCCTCAATAGCATGATGCTTTAACCACCTGAACTACCGAGTCATAAATACATATGTATATATGTGTATATATATATACACACACACACATACATACACAACATATATATATATATAATATATACATATATGTATAGAAGTTCCATAGCTATAAAATACCCAAGAAATTCTTGACACATTTAAGTTTGAGAAAATAGCTTTGCTTTACAGGGCACAAATGCAAAGAGTGCAATAACATTACACTTAGCCATCTGCTACCCATCATTCAACCTGTCCCAGAATGAAGGGTTTTTTGTGTCCAAAAAATGTAATCACTATCTACAAAACAAATTTTCCTTTAAAAATTATCTTTGCTCTTTTTCTATGGATATCTTTATTTAAAAAAGCAAATTACTTTTGTGGTTTCTAAAATGCCAAATATTAAGTGAGAGACAAGCTTCTGTCAGCTGTTAAATGGTACTTGGTTAAAAGGAGTAGTAGCGAGTATTTTTTTGTTCTATAGTCCAACGAAATAAAAACATTAGTGAAATTTTGAGAGACAAAAAAAGAAGATGTAATTTTGGAAATTTACATGAACAGAGCATTGACTTCCCATAGGCAGTTCTACTTATGTGAATGGGTAATATCTCCTGCGTATAGTTGTAATTTATTCATGCGACTATTCTGGTATAAACAAAGCACTAGCACATATGCAGTGTTGCCTAATGGAAGCTCCATGCAATCATTTTCTTAAAGACAAAGGGGCCTCACTACATTTCTGTCTGGGCTGCATGGCTGTGCTATAACAAGCTCCCCTTCCAGGAGACTCAGTAAAAGGACCACTGGAAGCAGTCCAAAATAGATCTTTGTCATGCAGAGTTGTATAATGAGGGAGCTGGCATGGTACAAATGTAACTATGGCACCATTACATTTTTCTTTGGTGCATGGCATATAAATATTTACTGAAAGTCAATTTGCTGTGATACCCCAAACCACCCAATAAGCCCTATGCTAAAAATAAATATTTAGCATCCATCAGACATATAAAAGAAGTGGGTGAATGCATCAATGAAAGACTTTCTCTATTCTATCTGCCTACCCCTTTAAATTTCAACATTGAGTGCACTACCAATCCTTGAGAGAAGAGGAAAACACTATGTTTCCTTTCATAGGTTAGGTTATTGCTAATGGGTATTTCCCTATGGTAAATATCCCTGCAGATTATTTCTTCCAGATTCCCTTATTGCTCATGTTTTCTGTGGATAATATTCAAAGGGGAGTAATAACCAAACAAATGTTGATTCACAAAAAATACAGCAGTTTAAAATCTGCAATCATATTTTATCTTATCAGGATTGGAACACCATGTACCACTATCACTGACGAGGGTGTTAGTGACTAATAACGTGCAGGTTTCAAATCCCGAAGGGAAACAATTGAGTTCTTTACATGTATGTGTGAGGACTAATTTAGTCTGTGTTTCACAGGGAGATTCTTTTCCCCTCCCATTTTAACTTACCTGATCGAGGTTTCAGGCCAAATGGAGCTGGGCTATTTGCAGTAGGTGAGATGGCAGGGGAATCCTCTTTAATCTGCTGTTACAAGGAAGATGAAATTCAAGAAATTGAAACATCACTAAGCATACTGATTTACCTAATAGGATCACAATTATGCAGTGCTACTGTCTTAGCCAGCTCTGGTATCATTGCTACATTGTGACAAAAGGGAAGACAAAGCTATCCTGATGGATGAACATCTGCCATACAGAATTTAAATCTCTATATTAAGAAATAAAGTCTTTCTTTAGCATTAATTTGACTTTTGTTGTAAACAGCATGAAAACTATAAAAATATTTCAGAATAGATGGTGCATCAAGACCAATTGAAATGAGAACCCTCTTCTCCCTCACATCCAACACACACACACACACACACACACACACACACACACACATAGATTTAGCACACCTCTGTTAAAGAATTTTATAATACAGTAAGGTTAGGGGAAAAAAAGATGAAACAGAACAGATGCATAGTCTACAGGAAAACAATATATTGAATCATTTATGGATAACAAGATCTTTAAAATATCGACCTTTTGCGTACTATTTTCATTCTGTTAATACAACTTTCTATAAATAACAGTACTCTATGAAAATGTTTCCATGAGTGTTTCCAAGAATAGAAATTTTATTTTATTCTTAAAAACTTTAATCATGAATGGGGCTGGTGAGATATGTGGTAGCAGATGAAATTGAGATTCCCCTGAGAGCCTACCACACTCAATTCACTCATTAATCACTACATACTTGCAAGATGTTTTTTGTAGGAGATGTGCCAAGTCAGAACACAGCAATCAACTTATTCCTCCCTTGCCTCTGGGCCTCTTACCTCATTTTGAGAACACTGGATCCCCATACTTCCTAAAGTCAGATCATTTTGCACCTGAAAGGAAAACAAAACATTTAGTAGACCAGGCTGAATGTATTACACAAACACTTTGTAATAACATGAAATTCATAATGTAGAATAACACATATATGTGGCCACACAAGCTGATAAAAAGGCACTAGGGCAGATAGAATACAAGAAATTATAATACAGACCTCACCTACCCAGAATTCAGGATAAACTCAGAGATTCTGGACACAGTCAAGTACAAGGAAGTGAGAGGGAGAAAAAGATGCCTGGAAAATCAAATGGATGTCACATCCATTATATCATAATAGATCCATATAATCATAGGCACTATGCGGTTAGGAGACACTCATATTCTTAATTTATGAGCATCCTAATAAGCTTGGCCATCTTATTTGGGAAACCACAGCATATTATAGTCAGCTGAATGTAACTGGGGAGGTCTGCTATGGAAAGGCATACCGAGAGCAATGAAGCAAGTGGCAGCTCATAGCCAGAGAGCAACAGAAAAGACCCCAAACCCTGAGATCAAAGAATCAGACTCTTTCAGCTGATCCTTCTCTACTTGTTAGTGCTCTCTTGCCTCAGATTATCTTGTATTTACTTGTCTGCTTACATCTAGTATTCCCCCATTAGAATGCAAACTCGAGCCCAGGAATCACTTTTTCTTTTGTTTTTCAGTCTCTTTTATGGGTACCTTGCAAATAGAAGGAAAGCTTACTGGATTCAATTGAAATGGATAACATCTACTGAGAACAACCATTCATTTTATAGATGAGGAAAATAAGGCTCAGAGAAGTCCCACAGACCTAGCTTTAAATTCTGGCTCTGACACTTACCATGTGACTATTGACAAGTCATTTAACCTCAGAGTCACTTATTCCTGCAGCTCTGTGTCAGCAGCCTCCCTATACAACTAAATAAAGAAGCCAGGGCCTTGGCATGGGTGAGGTGGACCAGGAGTTTGAATATCAACTAGCTGCCAATTCCCCAGGTTCCCACGGCACTTCCAACAGGAATTAGCAGTAGTCCTCGGACTTTAACCTGCCCACCAGGTTTAAGCTCCCTGCTTCCTCCCTGCAATGTTTGGTCCTATGTGACCCAGACAAGAACCCTGGGAAAATTCTCTGGACTATTTGTAAATAGTAAACAGCCCCTTCTCCCAAGGACCTCAGCAGACCCTGATCTGTTTCCATCCTCCTTGTTGACCCCTCCAATGATACAGCCCCTTGATAAAGCTGACTCATTTTCTGTACAGCCAAGCCAGTGTCCTTGGATTGCCAAGTACATAGGGAACAGGTTGTAAGATGTCAGAATACTGAAAAGGTTGGAATGAACCAGGTTACACAGGGTTTTAAACACTAAATGTTGTTCTATATTTGATCCTGGAAGCAACAGGTAATTGGCAGTCACTCTATTTTATTGAATGAAGTCAAACCTGGGCTTTAGGAAGATGAACTGGACAAATGAAAGAAAGCTGGATTGGTGGGAGGAGAAATTTCAAGCACAGAGCTCAATTAGAAGGCTATTGCAATAGTCCAGGAGTGAGGTGATGAGGGCTTGCACAAGGGTGGTGGCAGTATCAGAGAACTGAAAGGGGTATATATGAAAGATGTTTTGATGGTAGAATTGAGGGGATTTGGCAACTTGACTGAATATGCAGGGGGTTTAAGAGGGAGAATAAAGAATAGAGGATGACACCCAGGTTGTGAGCCTAAGTGACTGGGACATAGTGGTGCCCTCAATAGTAATAAGAAAGTTAGGAAGAGAGGTGGGAAGGGTGGGGTGGGAAGATAATGAGTTCAGTTTTGGACAAGCTGAGTTTAAGATACCTATGGGACATTCAGTTTGAGATGTCCAACAGGCAGAGATTAGAAACTATAGGTCAGGAGAGAGGTTAGAGCTGAATAAGCAGATCTGGGAATCATCAGCATAGAAATGATAATTTAATCCACGGGAACTGATAGGATCCACAAGTGAAATAATATATAGAGAGAAGAGAAGAGGGGCAAGGACAGAACCTTGGGAGCCACTATCAGTGTGCATGACCCAGATGAAGGTCAAGCTAAAGAAACTGAGGAGCAACAGTCAGACACATAAATAGAAGAAACCAGAGAGATCGGTGTCATGACAATCTAGAGAGAAGAGAATGTCAAAGAGGAAAGGGTGGTTGACAAAGGTCAAAAGCTGCAGACAGGTCAAAAAGGATGAAGACTGAGAAAAGGCCACTAGATCTGTCAATGAAAAGATATAATCCAGGGTCCTAAAAATATTCCATAATCTCTATAAAAAGCCTCACAAACTTTTAATATTAGCATGTTTCCCCTTATGTAAGCTACCAAAACATTGTGGAGTCTAGGTATTCTTTTTCTTTGATCAACTGCTGAAGGTTTCTATCCAAAAGTGTTCTGGTCTTAGACATAAAACTCTTAGGAGAAAATTAATCTTGAGAACAAACTGTCACTGCCTTGTCACTTCATAACAGAACAGCCATTTTTCAAATTGCTGACATATATTTTTGGCCTCAGATGTGGTCCACCCTCTAAGTAATTCCTTCCTTTAGTTCCTCCTCTGTATTTTCATTTTGTAATACATGAGATTAGATTAGTGAGATCATATAGTAAGTATGAAACTCTGAGCATATTCAGTTCCAAATACAATGAAATGTTATCCCACATTAATAAGTAAAATGATCATGGTCATGAGCAGGTAACGTAAGGTAACACAACACTTCTGATTACAAACCAGTCACTCCATAATGGTACCCTGGCCTCCCTCACTCAATCACATTTCTCTGCACAAGAACCCTGTGCTTCAAATCACACTGTTTCCCTTTCTGCCATCCACACACTCCATGTTAATTTTCACATCTGTGCTTCTGTTCATGCTCTGCATGACAGTAGCAATGCTGCCTTGTTTGGGTTGGTTTCCTTCTGAACTTTCTCAGGCTCTCTTCTGTGCATTTTAAAAATGTTTCACTGAAGACTGTTCTTTTTTCTGCTTCATCTTTCCCTTTTTTTAAACTCCTAGAGCACTCAAATCACATAATATAGTCCTTGATTACATATTGTATTGTTTTCATTCTCTAATTCTTTGTGGAACATAGGCTTTATCTCCCAAACCAGTCAGCCAGCCAGTTTCCCCCTCAAGGGCAGGGGGCCTGTTTTGCTTCATGCTTCTCAGATCCCCACCCCATTTGGGGACCTGGCAGAGAAGAAGGCATTCATAAACTACTTGAAGCCAAAAATACAATGTTCTAAATCTGAATGGGAATGGAGAGAAACATAAAAATAGAAAGGAGTCATAAAAATCAGGTACTGGCTCTATGCAACTCTAGGCACCAACTTTCCCCGTTTTTCTTTTTTTCTTTCCTTCAGCTCATGGCCTCTTTATTTTCCAGGTCAACTAGCTACTTCTCTCCTATCCTGGGGGAATGTTTTATAGACAAGGACAGGGAATTGGATTAGAACAAGGACACAAAAGCTGGGGATAAATGAGCAAATCTCAGAATGAAGAAATAGAGGAACTGGTGCTGGGATGGGCTGGATCGCACGTTTTAGCACTGTATCTAGAAGACCATATACACAGTGAAATCTTTAAGCCTGTAGATGGAAAGAAGTCTGTCCATGTGACAAAATACTAATTCTGGATAAACTTAAGGAAGAACCCATCAGCCTGTATGATGGCAGGAAATTAATAGAGTATCACTATTTGGTCAAGTATAAAGTAATTGATTTAGTAGGAAGAAAAGTCTAAAAATATATTTCCAAAACCACTAATTCTGAGCTGTTATAATCCAGCATTCCACACTTATTATGGTTCTAGCTGCTACATTGCTAGAAAGGAAATGAAGCTGGACATGGTCCAGAGGAAGGCAAAGATAACATTCAAGGTGATGGACAGACTTCCCACCAAGTAACTATTAAATCTTAAAAAGTGGGTCTTATCCGTCTAAAAATGATGGAAGAAATGATTAAAGTTTATGAAATCATGAAAAAGATAAACATGGATGACTAAGTCCTAAAGAATTAGAGCTAATGGGAACACTTTGATGCTTTCATTAGTAGGCTCTAGAACTAAAAGGCACCTTAGAGATCATCTCATTCAATCCCCTCATTTTACAGATGAATAATCCAGGCTTCAGAGAGGTCAAATGTTAGGAGATTATAAGTAGGTTTTAAATAAAGAAGAGGAAGTGTACCACCCCCCAAAAAAACCCCAGTAAAATACCCTAAGAAACCAAAACTGAAAATACAACTAGGCTCAAGAAGGGTTTAGTCAAAACTGTAGATGACATTTCGATAACAACTTACTAAGGGAAACTATGGATATCGGAAGCATATTGTTAACTGTTACAGTTTAATATAATTGATGGCAATAATTGTCCCTCTCCCCAACCCAATCCTCCCAACTAGCCTCTGTCGTGCCAGCCAGGTTACTAGGTTAGAAAGATGATCAATCAGACTCAGGACTCACTTCTCAACTTAATTTTTTTTTCTTTTTGCCACATGGAAGGATTTTTTTGCCCTATGGACAGGGACTCATAGGCCAGCAGCTGAGTGAGCAAACAGCTATGAATCCAACCAAATGGCGCAGTGTGGAGAACATTCTTCAGAAATACTTGGGCCATAATTTTGCCCATATAGAGCATGGGAAATAGCATGATAGGCAACTTTTAATTCTCTGGCCTTTCTTCAAAATGAGGGTAATACTGATGGTTGCGCTACGAAATCTTGTAGCATTTATTGTATTCGTGTGTGTGTGTGTGTGTGTGTGTGTGACAGAGAAAGAGAAAGACAGACAGAGAGAGAAAAAGAGTAGTGAGGAATGGAAAGCAATGGAAAGAAGAGTCAGAAGATCAGGACTTAAATCCTTTGTCATTTGCTACCTATATAAACTTTGACAAATTACTTGGGGCTGCAGTCTCTTCATCCATAAAACTGAATTTTATATTCATCAATACAAATTGGCAAGAGTTGGAGGGGAGGTTTATTAGAGATGTTCTTTAAGGGCTCTTCTGGCTCTAAATGGATGATGGTGATGATGGTGGACCAAATGCATTAATGGACTTCTAAAGACCTCTCACCTCCTACTCGACAAATCAGAGTCAGTATCTTCAGTCCCTAGGGTGTAATCATTCTTTATGTCTCTGACTCCAACTTGGGTGAGAGCCATTATGTTGTTCACTGACAGGTAGTCTATCCTTTATATAAACTGTGTCATGTCGTAAAAATGTCTGAAATGTTATTTTTTTCCCAGAATTCCCTTCTTTGTGAAGGTGAAGTTGCTTGCCCTTCATGGTGAATCAGCACGAGGTGCACAGATCCTAAAAATGCTGTTCTAAGCTTCAGGGGATTTGGTGGTTTGGTGCTGGTTGATAGAGATCTGAATTCCTTCAACCTTGACCCACTACTGGCTGTGCACTTCTCTTAACTCAGACAGAGCTGAGACAAAAGTTTTGATGAAGTGCAGAATCTTTCACTTTGCCCCAAACCCCCTGTGGCTATTACGAGTTTATGGTAACTTAACAGGGCAACCCCCCCTTCTTTAATCTAAGGATCCTGATCCTATAGTGACATCATAGCCTTTGGGTATCCTACAGAGTCAGCCTAAAGCCATTAGAATAGGACAACAGGAAAATACAAATCAGTTGAAGCCTACAAATTTTCATTTTAGAAATTTCATTTTAGATTTCAGTTTGAACGTTTTCCCCTGACACTCGTTATCCATACTATCAACAGCTATAAAACTAAACTGTGTCTTTTTCCTAGTGATGTGGCAGAGTAGCCCCCAGAGCCAGGAAGACCTGGGTTCAAGTCCTGCTCCTGGCACATACTCTCGGCCTCAGGCAAGTAACTGAATCTCTCAGTGCTCCAGGCCAGTAGTGTCAAGTTTAAATAGAAAAGGGGGCACTAAATCCTACATAAGGATCCCTGTGGGCCTCATATTGACTTAGAAAAACACATATTGACATTATCTTTGTTTCATTATTTTTTGGTTAAATATTTCCCAATTAAATTTTGATCTGTTTGTGGCACTTGGGAGTGATTCGCCGTGTGTTTGGTCCCCCTGCTCCAGTCAGCTCTATGACGAAATCACTGAGAAGGTGCCAACCCGCGTTAGCAAAGGAAGTTACCTATTGATGGCTGCATACACCAATTAAATTGAGGGCCAATTTTTATCCTTTATTCCATTCCTAATTCCAGGTGAAAGTGAACAAAAGTCCAAGACAAAGAGAAAAGGAAAAGACAAGCAAAGAGTGTGAAGAATTAATTTTCAGTTGGATAACCCAGAGCTGACTTCAGAGATTCAACTCAATCTCAGTGGAAGAAAACTATAATCCTAAAATAGGGAAATATTATGAAACAGAGCTGTAGACACATGTTAAACATTATTTTCTAGACAACCAAAACACTTCATAATCAAAGGAGTGGCATTTCTCAGGCACTGGGATATACAGAGCTCTAGTTAAATCACTATAATAACCTCTCCCTGTTGGCATCTCACTTGGACATTCCACATATCCATATGTATCCATCCCTATCATTGAGCCTCATCATAACACTTTTAAAGGAGGTGGGGTTGGTATTATTATTAGTTCCATTTTATAGATAAGGAAACAGACACTGAAAAGTTAAATAATTTTCCAAGGTTATAAGGCTAGTAAATGACAGTTAGGACTAGAGCCTAGGCAGGCCTTCAGGAGAGAACATTCAGAAGACTCAGAGTTAAAAAAAAATAGGTTCCATAGTAATAAGGCCAGCTCTAGGCCTGAACAGGAAAATAGATAATGTATATCTCTGCTAATGCAATTTTTTTTTCTTTTGATGACCTTTGCCTTCTTGAACCACACACCTGGATCTTCTCCTCAGGCACCTATGGCCCTGAGTATCTCACTCCCTACAGAAACTTGCTTTTGTGAAAAAAAAATCTATCCAAGTCATCCATAATAACCTTTATTTGTAAAATGCTTCAAGGGTTGCAAAGGGATTTCCTCACAACCATCTTCTGAGGTATGTAGTACAAGTATCAATATCCTCAATTTACAGATGAGGAAACTGAGGCTCTGAGAGATTAAGTGACTTGCCTCTGATCATCCATCTAGTGAGGTGGGAATTGAACCCAGGTATCAGGACTCCAAGTCTCACAAACTAGCCACTATACATTTCTGCCTCTTTAATAATAATGTGTGTTACTGAGACGCATGAACACATTGCCTCTAGGAGGGGCAATATTTTAACTAGGGGCAAAGCTAAGGAGTTAAAGGAATGAAACTCTAATCGTGTAAATTTATACATCATCAAGCTAAATGGAAGAGGTCTTGTTATTGTTTTGTTTTGGTCTGGAAAGTAGGGAATAAGGGTGCATCTCAGGGTTGCTGAAACATATATGGTAATACTCTGCCTATATGAAATGGTACTATGTAAATTTTGAAAGAGTATTTCTCAATCTCAGAGTAAAACCAAATAGATTCAGAGCAGCCGTGTGTAAGAGACTCTCTATTGTTGAGTGATTGGCTGCTACCACCACCACAACCCAAGGAAATGGGTTCAGAGGGAGGTACCTTCAAGACCATAACCTTTGTACCCAAAACATTTCCTTGTTACTTTTCTTCTAAGTTTCTTTAAATTTAGTCATCCAGTCAGGGCTGGACTGACTTTTTTTTTTTTTTTTTTTACTATAGGGTTGAGAGGGGCTCAAGGGGAAAATATATAAAAGCAAGTAAATTATAGGTTGAGAGTGTCATTACTCAAGCTAGCTACTCATTTGTCAGGCCCCTAACGTGGTGGTGTTACCCTGTTTAATTCTCAAGCAACCATTTCAAACTGTTAGTAGCCACAATCATTGGGCTACTTGACCTTTGTTTGCTGGTCAAACATTTGTAATTTGGGAGGAAGGTTTTTGCCTCAGGGGATCTTAATGCTGGATGGGATTTATATTGGTGTTAGCATTCTTTCATCTTAACCCATCTCTGCTTCACAAGGTGGCCTCAGCTTCTCCCGAGGAAAAAAAAGACACCTCATTTTGTGCAACACCCACTTCTCCATCTTTATCTACCTCGCCCTGTGATTACTTCTCTTCCACCTAGCCCAAACCCTGGCTAAACAGATCACTTTGGAAATAGGTGTCTTTTATTTTTAGTAGCAGGTGGGGCATGGTGAGTGTGCAAGAAAGGCAAGAAGATGAAAAAGTGAGAGATTTACTGATCTAGAACACATTCAAACAGCAGGTCTCAAATTTAGCCTTTTCAATATTTCAGTTGTCAATGTAAAATATATGCACTTTATAACTAACACACACACACACACACACACACACACAATTTGTTTTGCTTACCTGACAATCAGGAGATGATTCTGGCTGTATTTGACCACTGTGAGGAAAAGGGGAAAAACACACAAAGCATTGAAAAGTCAAGAATAAAATCTTCAGTTCAAAAAATAAAAATACGGATTAGTGAACATAAACTAAACATACTTTAATGTAGAATCCTGTAATTCTAAGGCTGTTGCTGAGTCCATGGGATAGAGGTTCATGACACTTCTCTCTGTAATATCTGTGCTTAACCTATCAAGTTTGAAACAAAAGAAGAAATAGTATTGTGAGTTATTTCACTGAGCTTTTTTATTCACTGAGTTCAGTAAGCTTTATTGCCTCATTAAAGAATATAAATATCAAAAGGCTGAATGTCCAAATACTTGGTTCCTTAGGAAATTTTAGTGCAAAACTCATTATTAAAAAAGAAGTCATTTTTATGTCAGCAGAAGGTCATTTAATAAATTTTCTCTTCTAGAACATAGCTTGGCAACCAGAGATAATGCAAGGAACTTTAATGGGGTGTTTATATTTAGTTCAAAATGTCAATAATGTGAAAAGATGAGTCCTGCTTCACCTTTTGAAATAACAGATATGCTGAAAGAGTTATAATCTCCAAGTTAGAAATCTTTTCACCAACCTCTAATACACATTTTACCACTGGATGCTGCTGGGCTAAATGGCACAGCTCTGGGCTTTGCACCAGGAAGACCTGAGTTCAAATCTGAGCCCAAGACACTTACTAGTTGTGTGAACCTGGGCAAGTCACCTAACCCTCTTTGCCTCAGTTTACTCATCTGTAAAATGAGCTAGAGGAGGAAATGGCAAGCCCTTCCAGTATCTTTGCCACAGAAAACCCCAAATAGGGTCACAAAGAGTCAGACACAAGTGAACCATGATGATGCTGCAATCCAATTCCTTATTTTGCTCTTGCAATTTTCAGATGAAATCATAAGGATCTCACATTAAAATACATCCTTGTACCTTGTTTGCTTTCTGAATCAGATCAATTACTGACAGGAACATAAATACCATGGAGGTATTTGGGTCTTTATAGTAAGAACTGTCAACTAGAATTCCATCTCTATTTTTTAAAATAGAAATTTAGTATAAAATGTCATTCATAATTTTATTTTTAAACATTATTATACATGTATCAAATTTTTAAATCATCTATTATATAGAAGTTAGGTACAACTAGAAAGCTAACATAAACCAACTCAGCACCATTTAAAGTTGGGGAAAAGTTCATATTAAAATTACTTATGGAAAATACTACATAAATAGTTAATAGGTCTAGGAGAATGAACCAAGACAAATACTAAAATTGCAACCATAAAATCTGAATGAGAAATACAAAATTCAACTGATTTTTTGGTATTCAAATTTTTTTATCATAAACCTCAGAAATTTTTTATTCTATCAGAAATTAACCTTTAAAAACAATAATTTTTTATGTGGCTCTATAATATATAGGAAGGAAAATAGTAATATTAAAAAGCACCAGATTTAATAGTCAATGTCGGAGGGGTTATAGAGAGACAGGCACACTAATGCATGATTGTTGGATCTATAAACTGGTATAATCATTCTAGAAAGCATTTTGGAATTATGCAAATAAAGTGACTAAACTGTCAAAACCTTTAATTCAGAGATTCCATTGCTAGGCACATACTTCAAGGAGAGAGATTAAAAAAAAGCTTCCATAAACACCAAAATACTACATTTTTGTGGTAACAAAGAACTGGAAATCATGTTTATGAGCAAGGAAGTAAATTATTGGAGGTATGCTTCGCTAGGATAATGGGGCAGTAATGCACAGAATGGAATAGAAAGGGAGAGAGAGTGAAGTGGATTTCTATGAGTTAGGAGAAAATAATCCGCTTATATTTCTTCTTTGTTCTTCACAAAGGTAGGTAACACATTGTGGATTTCTCATTTGTGAGTATTGACATTTTCAGAGCGTTGATCTCTTCTCAGGGAATACTTAAGAGACTGAGCTATCATTTGCTTTGAGAAATCAAACAAATGGTCAATAATATATGCAAAATATTAATTTAAAACTATTACTTGCACATGAAACTTAGGATCAAGGGAAAACAAGCGTACCTGTTGGGATCCTGTAACAAATCTACTGCTTCTCTGAGTTGATCTATCATTGATATATCCACATCTTGGTTATCTGACAAATTTGTCCTGTCACAGAAAGCCAAGAAAGAGCAACAACACCATCATCATCATCACTGCACCAAAAACTTAGGAATAAGAAGTTTCTATATATGGAATAGATTGTCCCAAATTTTGTCTGCCAAAATCCTACCTGGCCTTCAAGGAATAAGAGCAGGGATTGGATCTGTTATTTCATGGGGTAAAGTTAATTCCCAGGTGAGGGAGCTTCCTCTATTAATACAGGTAGGTATCTCTACAACTTAAAGTCCAAGAATTTTGTCTAAGGTCTTCCTGGCTGACAGAGCAGGTCTCCATCCACTTTACTGTTTCTGGCCTTCAATACCCAACTCAACACTGCCTTTTTTTCAGAAAGTCTTCCCCATGCTTCCAGTGAGGAATGACCTATCTTTGGAACCATCATAGTTCAGTTACAGTGCTCTGGTGTACCCATGCTTATTCTATATTAAAGATATCTGCATAAATTTTAATCTTCTCTACTAGATAGAAGGTAAGTTCATTGAGGGCTTTGTACATAGTAGGTGCTAATTAACACCTTAACAATTAACGTTAATAAGGGCCTGTTGAATGGTGAAGACTTTAGGTAATATACTTAGCTCTAAATATTACTGAATCTAGAATAGCTAATTATAGTTGATTAAGTTCTTATTCCAAACTCCATTCTAAAGAAGAAATGGCAGTACCTTAAAAAAATCAAGTCATACATATTAAGACAGTGAATTAGGAAACCTGGGTTCAAGCTATCTCTCTGCCACTAACTAGCTATATGACCTCTCAATGGTCACAAAATTCCTCTGGGCCTCAGTTTTCTTATCTGGAAAACCAATGTATTAAGCAGCTAAGTAATTCAGTAGATTGAACGTTGGATTCAGGAAGACCCGAGTTCAAATCTAGTCTCATATGTTTATTACTTGTGTGACCCCAGGCAAGTCACTAAACCTCCATCTGATTCAGTTTCCTCATCTGTATCGGAATAATAATAGTATCTGCCTTCCAGGCTTGTTCTTAGGATAAAATGATATAAAATTGTAAAGTGCTTTGTAAGCCCTAATGAGCTACATAAAATCTGGCTATTATTAATTACTATTATTATTACTGTTATTCCTACCAGTGCTAATAATCTTAGGATTTTAAAGTCAGGGTGAACCTCTTTGATCTCATGGAAGCAAGCCAACTGAACAGCTGAGCACAGGTGTTTGCGACCTCAAAAGAACTCCTCCACTCTCTTGACCAAAGGATGAAAGTCTCCTTTTACTCTGAAATTTTGGTCAATGTCTTTCTACAGGTAGAAGGACTTTCGAATAATTTCCTAGAACATATTGTGAAATCTTTCCTTTGGGAGAAGGGGAAAAAATGATAAGTAGCCATGCACAATGTAACATATAAAGATAGCCCATTGTAGGGAAAAACACATGTGGATTCAAACTCCATTTTTAGCACTACTGGTAATAAGGGTCTGTTAATATCTTCTCTCTCCGTCCTTCCAGCTAAACTTAGAACAGAGTGGAAGATAAGTTTGCTATTCTTACAAAAAACACTCTGTTTTAAAATGTCCATCTCAAAGACTCTAGCCAAAGACCCACTAATGCCCTCTGGTTGCCATCTTCAGGGGAATAACAAAATATAACCTGGAACCTAGAATCTAGAAATCATTTTGAATCTATCCATTGTTTTACAATATAACCAGACATAACCATGGAGGCCGTGGGAAAGAGGTTTAAGGCACTTTGTTAACCTAGTACATTATTCTTAAATGTGTAATACCAGGATAACAAGTATTGGAAATAGATATATTCTGCATTTTCATCAATGTAAATTGATTTTTTTTTAGAAAAAGAGCTGTCCAAAGGAAAATTGGTTAAAACGTTACTACTACATGCTAACTACTATTCCACCTGAAAAACAATGAAGGAAAAGGGCTAATACTAGATTTTATGCTTAACATAAATCAGTACTCACATTCCTTCTGTTTGCCAGTGTGTGTCCTCTTCTATCCGTAACAATTCATCACAGTCGTCTGTTCTGCCCTGTGAACAACCAACATACAGGTCCTCTGAGAACAGGGCTTTGTTATTCAATAGCCAGACCCTGTGCCAAACCTGCTTCATCTATCAGCTTGAAGTCAGTAATTACAGCTGTTAAAAAGCTAGGCTTTTATTTCTCACTATTCCCTCAATACCCCTTGATGGTGATCAGATCCCTTTCAAGGGCTTGCCAGATCCCTGGGTGGTCCTTCACCTTTGCCAGTGGGAGGGGAGAAGGATGTTTAGAAGTGGGGAGAAAAAGAGTACACATACTTACCAACAGGAAAATGCCACAAATTTAATCTAATCTTTTAAATGTGCACAAAAGATTTCCCCCAGAGAGATTATGTCTTGCTAGTTAATTTGGAAAGGTGTGTCACATTTGTCCTTCCATTTGGTAGACCATGTGTTTCCTTCCACTTTCATCTCTGACACAGAGAAATGCTGCTTTAACTCAGCTGACAGCTAGAACGGAAGCCACCCCTGAATGGGTGTATGTTTCCCCTGGTGAGGAAGGAACAGAAGACAAAAGGACTGCTTTCTGTGTCCTGGTTTTGGCACATCGTTAACTCGGCTCGAGAGTACCGGCCAATTCTGCCAGATGTACCAGTAAGGAGTGTGCTAGCCTTTTTCCTGGGAAGGTGGCTGACTGCCTAAAGCTGGCCTCTAGCTGGAAAAGAACATGGCCTTTTTTGTTTAACTTTTTATTTAATGGAGAAAGTAGACTTCATTGGTTTTCTCTCACAGTATACTCAATGCACTTTCAAAAGAACAAACCACCAGTTTCCACATTTGGATTCTGCATGTCTGGCAAAAATAACGGAGGAGGGTTCTGCTCTCAGTGTTGGCTTTCAATTATAGTAGCTAGAGAAAGCTACCTTCTTGTTTTCATTTGGAGGTCCAAACGAGTATATGATTGTCACTTGTGTACAGCATTTACCCCTTCCAGATGAAAAGGGGGGACTGTCTGGTTTTCTACTAAGTCACATACTGTTATGATTACTAAGGTACATGCTTTCAAGATGATCCCTAGAAAAGAGTAGTTTCACCTTACTACTGGATCACATTTAAACACGAACAAGCTTATTAGCAATAATTCACATTTATGTAGTACTTTGTGGTTTTCAAAGCACTTTCCTTATAACAACCCTCTGAGCATTAATATCTCTATTATTCAGATGAGCAAACAAACTCTCAGAGATCAAGTGACTTTCCCCCAGTCACAAAGTCAGTAATTGATGGGACTGAAAAATAAATCCCTTGACTGACTCCAATTTCACTGCTCTTTCCAAATAATAGTTCATACTTATAAAGCACTTTACAGTTTCCCAAGTGCTTCCAATAGGGTAAACAATATGGCAGTTTTTAGTTGTTAAGCAGTGCACCATAAACTTTTCACATTGTTAAGTATATGTCCCAAAGCCAGAGCCAAAGCTGGACTAATTTCCATTTTGGGGGCTTTCTTGCTTGCCTTCAAATCTATATAGTCTTGAGTTTAACCCACTTGGTTTTATTCCTTTATCCCCTTTTTACAAAACACAGGGCCTTAGTCATAGCAGACATTTGATAGATATTTGCTAACTTAATTTGGTTTCTACACATTAGTTTGTTCCTGGGTTCACTGCACAATTTTGTGACTAGTTACCAGCTTTTTTCAGACTTTTGTTTATTAACATTTCTTTTCTATTAGAGCCCTAAATCAGAGGAAACTTGTTCTAAGTTTCACCCTTAAAATTTTATTACTGGATTTTGTTAACTTCTTTTCTTTGAATTTGGACATCTTATGATCACTTTCAGCAGTATCCCTCTAATTAGGGTGATCTCTCCATACATCTTGGAGACAAAGCCCTATTTTTTTGAGGATCATAATAATAGAAAGCTAGAGTACTACTAATTCTTTCAAGCCGCTTGATTGTGAGGCACTATTTAAATAATCAGGATATTTTCATTAAGAAACTTTGTATGATGGGCAAGAAGAAAATACAGACTGCCAGCAAACTAGTGTTTTCTGACACTTGAAAGCAGTGGAAAACCTCCTGATCAGTGGCACAGATGAAAATAAGCAAGCAAACAAGGAAATACCTCTGAATAGCTGAAATAGATGCCATAGAATCCAGAAACTGGAGATCAGACAATTAACTAATGAAAGCCTCTTCTTACTTCAAACCTAGCTAGTACTCAGAAATTATTCACTCTTCCTTTAGAAACAATTATCATATGATTTTCAAGCTCACAGGAGAATAAAACTGTCTTAAGGATAAAGGGTGAACAGCTAAAACAGCAAGAAGAGATGGATGATGGCAAAAGAATAAACAGAAAAAAACTACAAAAAGCTGACATAAGAACTCAAAACACACAGCAAATGTAAAAATTGTGCTAATCTGACAATGGAATGAAAACTTAAAGCACCATCCTGGGCAGATCAAGCACCGATTAGTCTTGAGTACAGAATGTTTAAATATACATGCTGATTTTTGTACCTCTTCTAATCAACATTTTTGCAACAAAAATTATGTGTCAAGCTAGCACTTTGTAGATATTTACCACTTGATATTATTGACAATAACTCCATGAAAGAATAGTTTTTTATTGGTTTTACTCATTAAATGAGATATTAAATCTCTTGCTCTTTGGAAGTTTGTATGTATTTTATGTCTGGTGTACATATCCCAATTATCAGGGAGAATGAAGTAAACCTTAAAAAAATAAAAGTGCTTCAACTGAAAACAAAAAATGAAAATAATTAGAAGAGGCAGAGAAGAATCCTCTGAAGTTCTTCTCAGGGAAGAGGGGTTAATTTGTACTCTCTGGAGAGAAAGGAGCTATTAGCAAATCAAAGGAATAACTACATGAAAACATTGGTTCCATCAGGAAGAGATCATGTGAAATCTAGCAACCAGAGCCAGGGAAGCAAGGTAGAAAACATTTAGGCAACAATCAATGGAAGAAGGAAATCTAGAGCATTAGAAGAGACCAAGTGAGAGAGTGGGTTGCCCTGGTCAGATCTTACTTAGAGTATTATGTTCAATTCTGGGTACCACATTTAAAGAAGGACATTGTTAAACTTGAGAGGATCCAGGTGATAGTAGCCAAGATGGTAAATGTCTTCAAGACCATGTCAGATAAGAATTACTTGAAGATATTTAGCCTAGAGAAGAAAAATATACTCAGGATGTACATGATAACTGCCTTCAAATATTTGAAAGGCTACATTTAAAAGAGGGATTAATCATATTATGCTTGACCCCAGAAGCCAGAATAGAAGAAGCTGCAGGAAGAAGCTGCAGAGAAGCAGATTTAAGACTTGACATAAGGAAAAGGTTCCCAGCAATTACAGCTATTCAAAAATAGAATGAGGGAGCTTAAGAGACAATAGGCTCTCTCCCTTCCCAGACATCTTCAGGCGTTGGTTGGATGACCACTCGAAATGTATACTGCAGAGGTTATATTTGTTCAGGCATACATTGGATTAGATGGCTTTTGAAGTCCCTTCCAATTCATATTCTTAATGAAATATAAGTTTAATCTACTTTTGCTTATCTAAATATGAATTTTCATACTTACATGGACATCTGTGTTTTCTTCAAATAAAAAGGCCATTATGCACACATGCATATGACAGGCAACTATGAAAGGGAACATCTTGTAATTTTCAAAAAGAAAACCCTGGGAAACTAATGCCAAGGCTGACATCATATGGAACTTTGGCCTTTTTAGAGTCAAATGTTATTACCGTCAATAATTTCTCCTTCCTCAGGGCTTATAAATATAATCTAAGTTCTCTTAAAATTAAAAATTTTTACTCAAAATCTGCCTTGAACACTAGTATCTGTCAATCTCACACTTAAAAAACACTGAGAAACTTAATCCCTATTCCATAAAAACTACTGGGAAAATGAGAAATAGGGTTTGGATCCATACCTCATGCTGTCATAAATTCTAACTTGATTAGCTATATCTATATCTATATCTAGATACAAAATTATATGTATATCACAAAAGAAATGGAAGAAAAAGGAACAACCCACTTGTCTCAACTATGGAGAAGAGGGGCATTTCTTAAAATTAAATAAATAGAAATTACCAGGGAGATCAAGGGAATGGGCTTGATTATATAAAGAAAAAAGGATTTGGTATAAGAAAAAAATATTATCTTTAAAATTAAAAGAAAAGAAACAGACTGGGAAAAATATTTCCTATACATTTATCATACATTTAAGATCTGAGAGCTATGAGTAACTGATGAACATCCATAAGACTAATAACACACTCCTCAGTGCAGCAATGGTCAAAGGACATGATTAGGTAATTTACTGAGAAAGAAATAACAATAATAATATAAAAAGACACTCTAGATTCCCTAGTAATTTGAGAAACTAGAATCAAGACAGCCTTATGATAACTTAGACTATCTAAAATGGCAAAAATAGTGGTTTGATTTTTTAGTTTTAGGATAAAGTCCAGTGTTGGTAGATCAGTGGGAAAACAGGTCTTTGAGTCCACTGGTAGTGGGAATGGAGATTGGTGAAAATTTTGGAAAGCAACATGGAAACATACAATAAGGTTAGGAAAACTGATGACTATTCACTCAGTGACTTAGTTGATAGGACTTAATCTCTTAAAAAAATCACATAAATGAAAATAGGACCTAGCTGTACAAAAATACTCAAAGTTTCTTTATTTGTAATAGTAAAAAATTAGAAACTATATGTCCAATAATTCAAGAATGGTTGAATAAATTACTATATTCTATTACTGAAATGAAATATTATGGTGCTATAAAAGTAAGGCTACAAGGAAATACAGAAAGACATGTAAGGTGAGGTAGAGCAAAATCAGCAGAGTCAGAAGTATGTACATTGTCTACAACTTTTTTTTTAAGAAACACAAGAAATAAAACAGAAATGAAGACCGTTAGAATTAGTCAACAGATCTAGAGGGGGACACAGAACAAAAGTATTTTCTATTTGTTTATTAATTTCTATGGTTCTACTCAAGGATGTGTCAGAGGCACCTCAAACTGGATAACAAGAACTGATTATTAAATTTGCAGTGTGAGCATTTATACCTTGAAATTCGGCAAACTTAAAAATCAGGGCTCAATTTATTGTTTTGTTGATCAGTTAGATTTAATAAAGTGATGGAGAAAATATGAATAATGCAGATTAAACATGAAAGTGGTCCTTTTTTCCTGGAAAGCTTAAACATTTACCACCATGCCCCTGGTTTTATCCTGTTACAATAACTTTGCGTTTTTCATTTGTTAATTTGACTATTTTTGTTGAAAGTTAAGTTTATTAAAATATATTTTTTTAAACTTGCCTTGATATAGCTAATAAATTTGGTAGAGAGGGCATCAGTTTCATCAGTGAACTGTTCTCTTTCTTCTCCTGAGTTATCATTGTTATTCAAAAGGGAAGATTCCTGATGAAATTCCTGATGAAATTCCCCTGATGAGAAAATAAAGAGAAAAGGCAAAAAAAATTATTTCAGGCATAATACTGCTACTCAGTCAATTCACAGTTATCGACAATAATGGATTCTCTAATTCAAAGGGCACAGTGGCTAAAAATGGACAGCAGGAAAGAAAACAAAATGAAAGACAGGGCAGCAAGGTGCTGCAGTGGATACAGCACTGGTCCTGGAGTCAGGAGGACCCGAGTTCAAGTTTGGCCTCAGACACATGATACTTACTAGCTGTGTGACCCTAGGCAAGTCACTTAACCCCAACTGCCTCACCAAAAAAAAGAAAAAAAGAAGTGAAACACAGCTCTACAGTGGTTTTAAAAATGGAATAATGTCTAAAGTTTAATTCCAGATAAAAAAGTAACTCCTCTAATTTTATAAATCACTAAAAAATATGAAAGATATGTGAGTTTACGTGTTCTTAACACATATATGCTGTTACCTGTGTCTCTATCTCTTGTCTGGCTGAGTGAGAGAGAAGGATGCAGGAGAATTCAATGGAACCCTGTTTGGAGTTTATCCAAAGAGTAATAGAAAATTAAGGCCATCCTTTTAATGAATTGTCAGATGGATGAAAATAGAAAGCGTGTGGCTTCCCCAAGAAAACTTATTTTTTAAATGCAAAATTGGACTAGAGTCTTAAGCCACATACTAGTTCCAAAGGAATCTGACTGTAAGATAGAAGTCAGTGAATGAGAAAGAAGCACTCTAAGTAAGGTTTAAGGGATAATACTAAGGTTAGATAAAGTTGTAATTAATAACAATTAATAAATGAGTGAGAAAGGTACCAAATACTTTCTTACTTCTCAGAAGATTTGCTCTATAAGATCATCAAACTTTTCTATTTCGTTGTTTCAGTAGTAATATTTTTATTAGAATGTATAAAATTCAGTTTCTAAACTGAATCTCAAGTAAATGTGGTTGAATGTCAATTTTCCAGACAATGTGAATGATGTGCCACTGCAATTTGAAGGCAGAATACATTAACTACAGCAACTAAGGTGAAGAAAATCAGTCTCCTGGGTACTGACTTCAAACTTAAATAGATGAAGTGACACCACAGCATGATAAATCATAGGGGTTCTAGTCTAAATGAACATCCCATTATGGATACTTTTTAGAAGCACAAAAGAAATTGAGAATGCCAATCAGTTACATATTAATCAGCTCATCATAACTCATGCCATAAACTAATATATTCCAAGTGATTACTTAGCCATATAAAAACTGAAAAGCTTCAATTTTAGTATGTCTATTTGAAAGTCATCAATCAGAACAGGAATCCAAATACTTTCGTGTGGAAGTTAGTTGATTCCTATTCAGGTCAGCAATTGATTCCAGGGCACTAAGCATCAATATTTACGTGTTCCCAAATAGCTTACTCATAACCAATGATAATAATAGAACCAAAGAAATTTAGAACTGGAAGGTTTCTAGCAATCATTTATTCCAATCCTCTCACCTTGTAGATAAGGAAGCTAAGGCTCAGACAGCTTAAGCTATTTGTCCAATGACAGATAGCTAGGTAATTAATGGCCAATCTGGGACTAGAGCTCACATTTCATTCATTTAAGAAACACTGATTAACCTTGCACTGTGTATAGATAACAGCATGAGGTACCAGGGAAATATGTAGTTCGAGTTAGTCCAGCAGAAGAAAGAATTATTCATTTGAAATAAACATCACCTGTAAGGTAGGGCCTATTAAGGAATATGGGAAGAGGCAGGAAGTGCTAAATTACATAAATCATTATGATGCTCCAGCCTGACCTGGAAATTCGGGCAAAAGGGAGTCTTTAGTTCTCCTATAACCCAACTCCCCTCACTTGCAAAGTTTAAATCTAGTGACCACAGACAAGCATAAAAACTGAAGGATTCGTCACAAATTGGGTGGTATAACTCACATAACTACTACAGGCGGATAATGGGCTTGAGGACCTAAGTTCAAATGTCTCTGTTATTTCTTACCTGTGTGACCTTGATAAGTCACTTCTCTGGGCCTCAGTTTTCTTATCTATAAGGGGATTGGACTAGATGGCCTCCAGATCTTTGATCCTCTGTATGATGGCCATATTAACAAGTACTTCTTCCCTATACCCCTATGGAGTAAATGGAGGATTCATTTGGCTGCCACATAGACAGACAAATGACAAGCACGTGTCCAGGCAAAAGTGGACATTTTGGGTGAACTTCACCCTCAAGACCAGTCCTCTTTTGAGTAGTTCTGGGTCATGTCATGAGGTATCCATAATCTAGAAACCACCTCCCCTACTCCCTGTTCCCCCACACAGGGATGACCAGATTGAGTCCAGCCATAAATCCAAGGATTTAGACACAAGTAAAATGAAACAACCCCCCCCCCCCCCCACTCAAAGTTAAAAAAACAAACAAACCTGTATGCTTTTTAAGTTGGATTTGCCCCCAAAGATATAATTTGGTAGTAAAAATGAATGGAATTGATAAACTTCCCTACCCAACCAACTAGCTGTATAAGTAGGTTAGCTGCTGTTTATAAGAATGTTTTTCAAAAATACTTCTGCACATTTAAAACAGAAAAGTACATTTTGCCTTTTCATTTTTTAAAAAAATTCAACCTCTGATTTCTTTGCTGCAGGAAACTCCTAGTAGAGAAACTCCTTTTACCAATGCAGATTAGTGCCTTCTCTTCAATCCTTGGGTCCCAAGAGACTGAATGACTAGCTCCTCTGGGCCTGAGGTGGGATTTGAAGTCTTCCTATCTCTGGAGTTAGACTTTTCAGCCACTTTACCTGTCCCTCTTTATTGTTTCCTCCTTGCTTTTTCCCTTCATCCTCTCATACCTTTCATTGGACGAAGGCGATGACAAGGATCTTCCTTGACAATCTGTTCCTCTTCCATGATATTTGACATTGGTACATTAAGGCTGACAGTATCTTCATCAGAAGGCTAAAAAGAAATAGTTCAACTATCTCATTCATGGAAAAACATTAAAATTATTAAAGATATAAATATGGAGATGAGCCACTTTAAATGAAGCACTTTGATAAAATGGAAAAAGCAATCAATTCTGAGTGAGAGAACATGTGATTAAACAATAGTTTTGCCACTTAGGAGCTGTTATGTAGCAACCATAACTATTTAGATCAAACCTCATTCCCAATGCTTCCTTTTTGATTGGGTGAACTACAAATTAAAAATTTACAAGCAGTAGGAGATTAATAGTTGTCTTATATTTAAAGTGTACAGCTGACCCATCTGATTTTGGAACACTTTATAATAAGTAATCTGTGACTGCCATCTCCAACTGTTTCGTGCTAACATGCTATATCAGGTGAAGGTTATTTAAAGAAAAAATAAACAAACATGATTCTTTCAGAGATGAAATATGGGGCCTCCTTTGAAAAAAACAAAAACAATGTTCTTTTCTTCCCCTTTTTGTAATGACATTCTGTGCTAATGTTTCAAATGTCACAAAGGGGAAGCTGGGCTATCAAAGGCTAAGCCAGTAGATTGGGAGGTCCTATCAACTGGAGACGTTTAGATTAGAATATGGTCCCAGCAAGGGACCATTTCATTATCCAAGGATCCACCTTGCAGAATCTGAAGGGGATCATTACCAGAAGACTATCCGCTAGGACACAGCAATGTATGGAGCCTGTATAAGCATAGTGGTGATATATGATCCTTGCAGAAATACAGTAGGCTCATTTATTTATTTTTTAATTAGAAGAGAGAATGACAAATTCTTGGGGATCAACAATAGTAATTGGCAATAATCCAAGTTTTCAAATAAAAACAAAGGTGACATAAAATTAATTCTTGCAAAAATTTTGGTTCTTACATTTTAATTTTTTGTAAACTCATATTATTAGAGCAGTGGAAAAAAATCAACACTTAAAAAAACCTGACTCATTCATCAAATATATATTGAATATTTAGTATGGGCATAGTATTCAACATGAAAATAATTGGTTTTAATTCTCTTAACATAAGCAATTAAACCAATAACTAGGAAGCAAAAGCCAAAGTAAGAGAATAAGGATTTACTCTTCAAATCAACATGGTAAGGGAGATGAACAGAGAGTGTAATTTACCTCCTATGGGTAATAGATAAAATGGGAGGAATTTACAAACCCTTTATCATTATAAAACTAAGTTCTGCAATGCTGCCCAGGTTACTGAGACCAGAGCATGGTGATCATCAGAAGCAGAAAGATGTCTGTATGGTTTGTTTTTGGGGAGAAAAATGGCTCCACTTTCCCCACTCGGCCTTATATTTTTTTTAAAAAAATTGCCAAGATACACATCTAAGAAAAAATAATGAATTCATTAGAATAAGATAGTATCTTTTATTTTAAAATTACATATCTATTTACAATAAGCAAATCCTAAAATTTAATTTAGTATTTTGAATAATATTTTATGGATGAATTTACATACAAATATAACTTTAGAAAACATCACTATGAACTAAGGTTTATAGTTCTTTTTTGTTGGTATGTGTGTTAAAATTAGTAACAAAGTTACCTCTGAAACAAAAGTACAATTGAGGAATTTTAAGGACATTGCAGAGAATTATGTTATAATTGATAATATAATATTATTCTTTTAACATGTAAAAAAGGCTATTACAATTTTCTGAGGGATATGAAAGGTATAAAATTTTTTAAAAGAAGAAAAAAATCTACAGGAAGACTACTTACTATGCTAAGTAGGAATCAAAATGAAAAAAATACAAAAAGCAAAGAGAAGCCAATCAATTAAGGTTTATGGGAGGGGGGAGGCAAGAGACCTAAATATGCAATACTATGCAATTAATTAGTACAGCTTACACTTAACTGCAAGAGAACAAGAAAAAGTTAACCAGGAAATGTAGTGTGCCAATAGGTACTAAATCTACACGGAATTTAAAATAGATAACATAGTTCCTTCTGTTAGCTTTGAGTAAAAAGGAAGAAGCTATTTTAAAACATTTCCCAAAAAGTGTTAAAAAGTTTATAAAATCATGCAACCAATCAGGAGGACTGCCATTACTAGAGGCCCTTGTAAAAAATCGGACTGCTGTCCTATGTAGGCTTTCAAAGTCCATATATGTGATAAAGGACCAGGTTAGTAATATCACCAGCAAACAGTGCTTATGAAGTGCCCAATATTGTATGACAATGCACTAGGTATCACTTAAAAACGCTTTCTAAATGAACCACAACTTTAAAAATCACTAAGAGTTAGAGAGTTGGACCAAAACAATAGATCTACAGTTACCTTGTAAAAAGAATGACTTAGATACCATCAATCCAAGTTTAAGGCCAATTTGTTATTGAGGAAAACATGAAAAAGCATCAGCAAAAATCTGAGAATAAAAATTCAAGCCAAATGGAGATGTGAGATACAAAATGTAGCAGACAAACCCTGTAGTTTGGTAGAATTAGAGAATAAGAAAGAATAGAAAAGGGAATAGGGCAGATATTTTACAAAGTAAAACCTAAAGTGTTATATAATTGTGAATTATGATTAAATTCTCATTCATTTGAACTGCTAAACTTCAAATCTGTCATACTGAAGACAGGCATTTACCTTTGTACACATTATTTATGGAAAAAAAAGAGATGCTGGTAAAATTAAAAAAGAGAATAGAGAGAAAGCACAATTTTTAAAAAAGTCTTTTTCTAGTGGTTGTAAATAAACACAATGTAAATAGTTGATTAAAGTGGAGCCACTTGAAATTAAAAAAACTGGGGATATTTGATAGCTGCAAAATTATATTTCTTTAAAATATGAAACAATTCAGAAACCTTCCTAATTTAACCTTATCATATAGCCTGGCTTTTTCTCCTGCTTACTATCCCTTTCCAACTATTATAAACTCGTGAAGTTTTACTATGGCTTAACTTAATGAAGAATGATATCTTATAAAATCTTTCCTGTAAAACTCATGTTAATATTCTATCTGGATTAAAATTCAAGAATAAAGAAATTCAGAAAAGATGATTTCATTAGATGTCACAGATATTTAAAAATGAAAGAAAAGGGAAAAAAGTGAAAAGGAGAGAGAAGAGGAGGGAAAGAAGGAAGTGGGCGGGAGAGAGAGAGAGAGAGAGAGAAAGAGGAGTGTGTGTGTATGTGTGTTTGTGTGTGTGTGTGTGTGTGTGTGCGCGCGCGTGTGTTAGAGTTGGTAGGAGTGGAGATGGAGGGAAAACAGAAAAGCATCATTTCACAAGACAGGGAATAACATGTCCTTTCTGCATGACTCAAAACAAAACTACCTCAAAAACTGTGCACTCTCTTGGGCTTAGCATCCCCCAAAAAGTCTCACCAAATTGAGGGAGTTCAAAGTCAAGGAATAAAAATGATAAAAGGATTGGGACAATCACTTTATGAAGGATTTTCCCCCAGGGCCAAAGCAGTAGAGATCTACATGTATCATATTTTAGTAAAAACTTTTCCAGATGTTAACAGACCATAAAGGAGATAATAAATGTGCTAATGGAAGGTTATATACAACCACTAGAGGAAGCTCTGGTATTAATAATAGTTCATTTATAAAAACTCAATATTTTATCATGATATTTTAAAGGAATCCCATTCCCGAATCACAGGGAATCAAAATTTGGCCTCAATTCACAATGACTTAAAATGCACTTCTGGTGAGGAAACTGCAATGCCATGTACATTTCATGAAATACATACACACAAACACACATTCACTTCTAATGCACTTCTTAATCCTTTAAGGTCAACTGTCAACAGTTATTAGGCAGCACAGTGCCTAATACATAGTGGGCACTTCATAAATGCTTGCTCTTTATTTTATTACTATGTTCAGGGCAAGGTACTGGATACTATGAAGGGAATTTAGAAAATCAGAGTCTCTGTCCTTAAAAAGTTCACACTAAAGTTTGACTAAAGTCAAGGAAATAACACATTGATGTATGTAAAGGAAAATATATGAACAAAAAAATCGTACTGTGAATGAAAGCATACCCCCAAACCAGAGTTTAACTGAATTACCTCAGTGGCAGATAAACGCTTATCTCCATTATCACTTCCAACTCCTGAATCAGAATCTTTCTTGCTGGGATAGATGTCATCAATTTTGAATTGAAATAAAACACATCACAATATACATGTCAAAATAAATCAACTTTCAGTATAATTATGATTTTGTTTTAAATAAGTTATCTTTTAAGAAATTACTCAGAAACTAAAATTCCATTCAATTCAATAAATATTTAACACACAATACCTATGCTGTTTATAAAGCATGTGCTTGACCCCAAGAGAGATACAAATGTTAAGATACTGTCCTTCTATAGATGGAACTTGACAAATTGTGCTAGAACCAAATGGAATTGGGACACGTATCTAATTAAAATTTCAAATGAGGCTGATGGGAAAAAGAATCAAATGGCTGGCTAGTTCTTTATAGTAAACTTTTTAGGAATTTCTAATATACTCTAATAACCTGACATTAATCTCAGTATAGTTTAATGTAGTGAATCTATCTTAAAAACAAATTACATACACATGTATGTTGTAAATCTTAGCATGGATCTCTAGTAACTTATAAATGTTATCAGTACTTCATTGCCCTTCTATGTCATACTTCCCAAACCTCTGAATCTTCAAAATTACAAATGTAAACTAACAAAGTGAAGAGAATAATTCAAATGGAACTCACATAAAGTTGGGAACAACATTTCTGCAGCTCTCTCTAGAGGCCGTAAATGTATCCTTTAAATGAACAAAGGCTCAAAGTCTGTTGGACTCACCTCTCTTCCACATTAGGCTGTAGATTTGGCCTCTCCATAGTATGCAGATAAAGTGAGTCGGTTGTTTTAATCTGACAGGCCTGTATGCTCAGATACTTGAATATGTGCACTTTGCCCTTTGTACAAATCTATTAAGAAAATAATAAGCTTTTATTTGGAAAACTGTGAAGAAACATTCAGATATTTTATTTTCTGGAAACAGGCACTTGGACATATATTTCATTCTAAATACCACCAACCCTATGGATTCCAACTGTAACCCTTGTAAAATCTATTAAAATTTCATAAATCTGTCCCACAAATTATTTCTAGAGAAAATCAAGACTAAATAAATGTCTAAGTTTTCCCATGCTGACTTGCAAACCTCTTAAAAAAAAGTAGTACTCTGAAAATATATGTAAATGTAAAAAGAATGCTCAGCATGGTATTTTGGCTAAAAAGAGTCCCAAAGATTATTTGAAAGCCTGTTAATCAGTGTAATAAAATACTGAAGACTTGGGGAAAACATCTTAATAAGGTATAGAGTCCCTTTAAAAATATCAGATTACAATTGTTGCCTTGGTTACTTATCCGAAGGTAAATGAACATTCTTCATCCTGTTTTCACACATACTACCTAATATTTCTTTGGGCTTTACCCAACTGAAGTCCATGCTCTCTTACAACTTCCTACCCTCTGACTTTTCATCCCTTGGCTTCCTTATGTAGAATTTGGATGAGATGATGTCCACCTTCCCTTCCAGCTCCAAGTTCCGTTATGTTGAAGCAGCTAACTACCTATTTCCAGAGAGCTGCTTAAAAGCTTGCTGCATAGCTCATAAAAAAAAAAAAAACCAAGAAGTGGGCTATTTCTTTTGTAAGATGAATACCAAGAAAAAGATCTGAGAATGACCTTATTGCCAAACAGCTGAAAAACTTATTTGGCAATGAACCATTTATATTCACAGACTTCTCCCCCTCCTCCACCCCTTCCCTGTCCTTCCCCACCTGTATGGACAAACCATCTTACCTGTGCTGGAGGGGACTGGAGGGGATTATTTTCAAGCAGTAACACTTGCAGCTGCTTCATCTCTCTAAAACAAATTGGAATCACGAGCACTTTATTGCAGGAAAAATCAAATTTTACCAAGGGAAGATCTACAAGTTCTAAAAACAAACAAACAAACAACAACAAGAGAATCACATGATTAAGTGTCAAAAATATTTGTCTTTGGAGAAGGAAAATAATACACAACATAACCAAAAATTTAAGGTTTCTTTGCAAAGTAGGTTGTACACAAAATCTGTGGCATGTGTGAACACCATATGAATAAAGTAGAAACCTCATTAACTTAGACTCTACTAATTTAGAACTGTGATAGGTGGACAGGCACCAGACTGCAACTTACCTCTGCACTACCAAAATAAAAAGAATTTGCTCAGCAAAGATATCATATAAACAAGATTTCAAGAGGACTGCTTTTATTTTAAAGTTTAAGCAGTAAGGCAGCATAAAAACAATGTGATAATTAGAGACAAATCTTCTGTATTAATTAAATTGGGCCTGGCAGGGCCATCACTGGGCAATATAATTGGCAATTAGTTTGTGAGAGTATATGACATTAAAAAGTAATAAAACAACATTTTTCATACTGTATAATTCATAATTTATAAGCTCCTGTCCCTTTCAACTCCATGCAAGTTTGACCTACTGTAGTTTTTTCTTTCTACTTTTGGGAAATCCTTCTATTGCTACATAAACAAATATAACCTTATATTTAGCTTATAATTCCCATCCAGTGGTATAGTAAACACTCAGCAATTTCAAGTATTCAAGCCAACTGGACTACCAACATTGACAGCTGCTAGGAACAAAATCAAATCTCTTTCCTATAAGAAAAAGATGGCTAAACAATGTCAGGCATCTAAGAGTTATAGCAGGTGGAGTTTGGGAAGTAACTATATGTCACAACTCCCATCCATGTAGCTAAATCAAATCACTACTATCACATGACAGGGAAGTGCAACTGAGAGGTATATCTGACATGTATAGCTTTTGCCTTGAGAACTAATGAAATTAGGCAAAGAAATAATTCAAAGAAGATCTTTTTATATTAAACTAGTAAGAAAATACCAAAATTAAGGAATTTATCATCAAAAATCTAAAAATCAACCTATATTTACATAGCTAAGAAGCTTTTCTGTTGTGGGGTGACAAGACCAACACATAACATAGTAGCAAACAACATAAGATATGTAATTAAGTGCAGCAGCATGGTTAAAAAATATAGGAACTCAAGGAAGATGGATGGTGATCAATTAGGCAGGAATAGTTAAGGAAGGCTTCATAATAATCAATAGTCGATAAATATTTATTAAATATCTACTTTGTGTCAGTTACTCAGGATACAAATAAGAAAGAGACCCTGCCCTCAAGGAGCTTATAATCTAATGGTGGAAAATAATACACAAAGGGAAACTGAAAAGGTGTCTCTTTGCCCCCATGATGTTTACGGAATTAAAAACCTAGCAGAACAAGTAGTAGGAAATGAAGAGTTGATTGGAAACTCTGAGCCATTGGGAGGAGGTTTTTTGCTCTTCCCTCCAATCACAGAAGAAAGGAAACTGAGCTGAGGAGTTTTAAGGATAATGAAAAGACCACCCTGACCACAGCAAAAGATGTGTGCTAAATCAGTAGTGGGATAAACTACTGGACGTAAAACATGGGGTAGCTTATGGAGGCCCTTAAAGTCAGACAGAGAAATCTGGACTTCATGTAGTAAGAACTAGGGAATCATGGAAGGTTTCTAAACAAAAGAAGAGTAATGAGATGAAAACTGATTTTAACAAAGATTAGAGTACCAGCATAAATACAGAACGAATTCAGGGAAGGGATGAATGCAGTATGACTATGACGGGGGAAAGACTAGAAATTAGGTAGGCCAGGTAGAAGGTTTTTCTTTCATTTTTAAAAAATTTTTACCATATCTAAATAGCAAATAAAATGGGCCCTTCAAGATACATAATAAAATAGAAAAAGAGGATTATACAATAAGCTGCAGATCTCTATAATATATAGCTTGTTTTTTCTTTTTAAACAGAAAACGAATTTAGTATGTAATTTTCAAAGTTGTCCTTGATTGTTCCTAATTGTCCATAATTCATTCTGGCATTCTTTCTGTTCCCTCTCATGCATTTAAAAATGCTTCAATGATCTCTTCTTTTCTTCCTTTTTTTGCTGCCCTCTCCCTACCTAAATTCCTCCCACCTCTAACACCATCCATTAATCGAAAAAAGAAAAAAAAGAAAGAAAAACAAAGCCCTTACAGCATGCATGCAAAATCAAACAAAATTCCTGTATTTCAATGTCTGAAAATGTAGTCTTCTGCACCTCCATCACCTTATAAATTTGAATCAGTTGGATGTGAGACTTGTATCAGAGAAACCTCTTGCAAAGACTTTTTCTCAGTAATGTGTTTCCTTTCTAATTTTAACTGAATTGGTTTTGTTTGTGCAAAATATTTGAAATTTTGTGTAACCCAAATTGTCCACTGTATCTTCTGTAATCTTCTCTGTCTCTTGTTTGGGCATGGACTCTTTCCTCTATCCACAAATCTTAAAGATATTTCTTCTGTGATGTGGCTGTCTTGATGTGGCTCATAGAGAAGATAGACATCTCGAGTGTCTCCCTTCAATGTTCTTGAAGGGGGACTTTAATTCCTGCCATCAGGGTAAGTAGGAGATTAGGGCCAATAATATTCCACTACATTCATACACAGTAATTTGTTCAGTCATGGGCCTGGAGTCAGGGAGACTATTCTTTCTGAGTTAAAATCTGGCCTCAGACACTTAGTAGCTGTGTGACCCTGGGCAAGTCACTTAACCCTTATTGCCTCAGTTTCCTCATCTGTAAAATGAGCTGGAGAAGGAAATGGCAAACCACTCTAATATCTTTGCCAAGAAAATCCCAAAAAGGGGTCATGAAGAGTGGGATATGACTAAACAACAACAACAACAATGAAAATCAAGTGAGGAAAGAGACTGAAGAAATAGACTATGGTCAACAGCATTAAATGCCCTCCTAATTTCCCTTCCCTTTCAAAACCTTGATAATTTCACTACAAAATAGGGTTAAGAAAAATGCTGTGTGAGGGACAATGGGGGGGATGGTTATTGTGACTCATGGTCTGCTGTTACTCTCAGCAACCTTCATTAATCCTCAGTACCCACTCTTTTACTTAAGAACTTAATCATTCAAAGTTACACAGAAATCATCCAGAAAATTAAGAGGTATAATACCTCCATGAGAGGGGATAAGAATGGCTTGGATCTGCATAGACTTTTGGGATTTGAAGTCTTTTTTGCTCATCTCTAAGGGCAAGGAAATATCTCATCGGTTGGCTGTTGTGGGACACCGAAAAAGGAAAGAGTACCGAGAGGATGGAAGTGGTGTGGCTTCTCCCAGACATAAGGAACAGCAGAGCACTCAGTAGTTCCCCTCCTCAACCTAAGTCTCCAGGGAGACTGGAGAGGAGAAAGCTAGAGTAGCAATTAGAAGGATTCATTTTATTATCATTTTTTTAAATCTTGGGCACTCTCTCAGATGTCTGAGGAAAAAAACAGATACAGAGGAACTGGCAACTGTACTTACTCCTTTCCCCTGACTTAATTCAGTTGAGTATACCAAGCACCCATTTCTAACCATGTCTTTTTATTCTGTTAAAGACTGCATGTGACTGACATAATTTATTTCTCATAAACAGTTGTTGTTGACCCTGTCCTGTACACTTCCTGGTGTCCCTTTGTTATAGTAGGACAAGTCTGGGGAGAGTGACCTTACTTAGTACAGAGCTGGAATCCCAACCCCCAGTCCATTGTTAAGATATTTTTCTCTAACTAGGGGCATAATCATGAGCCATCCATGTTTCATGACTATATTTCCATGAATATACTACAAACTTGGGTCTATAAATCTGCCTTGAGCCTAGCCTGCTGACCCCTAAGTTTACAAAGATATCAAGACCTGCAATTTCTTGTATAGAGTAAAGAATGTTTTAAGCAAAGCTGTGTGTATTTGTGAGAGACACACAAGAAGAAGGTAGGGAGTAGAGCTGAATTTTCAGTGCATGAAGAGTCCTTTTATAATTTCCTTTCAAGCTTCGGACATGGGGTTTAAGCACCTGGTGCTTAAGAGAAATAAGGGGTGCAGCTAGGTGGCACAGTGGATAGAGCACTGGTTCTGGAGTCAGGAAGACCAAGTGTCCGGCCTCAGACACTTGATACTTACTAGCTGTGTGACCCTGGGCAAGTCACTTAACCCCAACTGCCTAGCCGAAAAAGAAAAAAAAAGGGAAATAAGGCCTATTCAGCTTGCTACTCATAGGATGGGAAGGGCATAGAAAAGGGAAAAAAATGGATGAGAGTCCTAGACCCTCTCTATTCAGGAAACATAAGAAAGGAATAGAGAAAAATCATGCAAAAGGTAGAATGAGCTCCTCCTTCTCTCCACCCCAGCCTGTGGCAAGTCCTAGCAAGGACAAAGTATATTCTCAGAACAGGTGTTTTTAAAAACAAAAATCAAAATAACCCCACAAAACACCACAAGGCAATTGGGGATAAGTGACCTGGCCCAAGAGGATGGGTAGTACTAAAAATGTCTAAGCAAATAAAATAAGTACACATTTACTGCCCAAGAGAATTATCAATGCTCTTTTGTTAACAGATTTCTTCAGAAACTTGATATTCAGGAAATTAAGCAAAAAAGGTTTCACTGTAAATTGAAACATTTCAGCTTTAAGTGCACAAAAATCTTTGTGGAAAAAATATAGTAACAAAAATACAGCTACCCATGAAATACCTTTTAGAGAAAGAAAAATCATTAAAGAGACTTAGGAATGACAAAAGGAGAACTAGTTAGATTTTTTTTTTTAGAGTTCAGACTTAAATGACAAAAAAAAATTAATACTTTGAAGTCATTCCCTACCCTCAAGCCACCTCCTCCATAGTCTGACCACAGCTAGAGAACTGTCTAGATTTGAATCCAAACTCTTTAACTTTGTTGGATTATAAGGGCAACAATCAAGACCTGGAAGGGATTTCAGAAGGCATTGAGTCCAACGGTATTATTTCCTCAGATAAGGAAACTGAGGCTCGATGATTTCAAATCTAGCACTCTTTCTATTACACTTAAATGCCTCCCATAATGAATGTGTCCCAGCAGCAGCTCCTGTCGGAGGCAGCTGTCATTATAACCAGTGGTTAAAAAGGGGGGGGGGGGGCAGCTAGGTGGCGCAGTGGATAGAGCACTGGCCCCAGAAGTCAGGAGGACCTCAGTTCAAATCTGGCCTCAGACCAAACACTTGACACTAGCTGTGTGACCCTGGGCAAGTCACTTAACCCCAACTGCCAAAAAAAAAGAAAAAAAAAGACAGGTGCTTGCAGTGTAAATCCAGAAACCCTTATTATCACTTCCACCAGAATTGGCTACAACTCTCCTAAGGATCATACCCCTGAAACTAGTGGGTTCTCATGACTCAGACATACATGTAGACGACTACACCGAAAGTTGAAGATTGTAAATTCCAAGATGACAAAATACCTAACCTCTATACATAGTGCCAATTTTTCCCCAAGCCTTATAATTCGGTATTGTTGTTACTGCTTTTTAGATTATACCCATACCCTGAACCCACAACCTAACCCCAACCTTCTTGTCATTTGATGTTCAAGTCATATGTTCACTTAGAATAATATGTTCATCAAAAAATAATCCTAAAGTAATCAACTTGGAAAATTAAACACACAAGAAACTAAGAATTTTCTGCTTTGTTCCTTTTTCTGTTTGTTGAGCTTAACTGACTTTCTTACCTGGTGGTAAAACTTTAAGGTAATTTCTTCTGATGTTCAGTTCTCTTAGTGATTTCAGTTGTCCTATCTGCTGTGGCAGAGCTGTGATCTCATTGCAGCTGACATCCTGTGGCAAAAGCAACAGGAAATTCATGTATTATTTTCCCAAAGGATTAAGCAGTTCAAGCTAGAATTCCTTGAAGGAATTTGACATTAAGACAGAGGTAAATTTTTCATGTTGCCTTCAATTAATCAGAGTCAATCAATAAGCATTTACTACTATGTGTACTATTGCCTACTATGTGTCAGGCACCAAGCAAAGTACTGTGGATATAAGAAAAACACTCCCTGCTCTCAAGGAAATTACATTCTAAGGGGAGACAGGCAAATTTACGGATATATACAAAATACAAGGTAACCTTGACCAGGCAGAAGATAAGCTTCAGCTGAGTCCAAGAAAACAAGGATTCCAAGAGGTATCAGTGAGGGAATGTATTCAAGGCATGGGAAAGAACCAGTGCAAAAGGAGATGAGAGATGTAGTGTCATAAATGCAAAACAGCAAGAACTTCATTTTGGATGCCCTGTAGAGTTCGTGAAGGAGAGTAATGGGTAATAAGGCCAAAAAGCTAAGATGTGGCCAGATTCTAAGGACTTTAAATGGTAAACCAAGAAGTTTATATTTGATATTAGGAAGCCGCTGAAGTGGACTGGGTGGGGAGGTGGTATGGATAACAAAGTCAGACCTTAACTTTAAGAAATTATTTTGGTGACTGGGTGAAAAGTACACTGGAGTGGGGAGAGGCTTGAACTAAGGAAACTAATTAGGAGAATATTGGAAAAGCCAAGATGAGAGGTAGCGAGATCCTTGGCTGGTACGGTAGCTATATGAAAGGAAAGAAGGGAATGAATGGGAAGAAGTAGTGGTGGTAGGAATGGCAGGATTCGCTAACTGACAGGGGAAAGAGGGGTGAGTTAGAGTGAAGAGTTGAGGACCACACTGGGTTCACTAACCTGGAGACCAATAAAACCTGTTTTGAACATGGTAAGTTAGATATGCCTATGAGACATTCAGTTTGAAATGTCCAACAGGCAGCTGGAGATACAGGACTAGAGCTTTGGGGAGAGACTAGGGTTGGATATATAGATTGGGGTTCATCTGCATGGAGGTGATAATTAAATTCATGTGAGTTGTTGAGGGCACCAACGAAAGAGTTTAGAACAGGGATTCTTAACCTTTTGGGGCAATGGACTCCTTTGGTAGTCTTATGATGCCTATGGATCCCTTCTTAAAATACATAAAACAAGGGGCAGCTAGGTGGCGCAGTGGATAGAGCACCGGCCCTGAAGTCAGGAGGACCTGAGTTCAAATCCAGCGTCAGACCAAAACATTTGACACTAGCTGCATGACCCTGGGCAAATTACTTAACCCCAATTGCCTTAAAAAATGTTAAAAAATATATATATAAAACAACCCATAAGATTACGAAGGAGACCAATCAAATTAAAATACAGTTATCAAAATATTTTTCAAATATGAGTTCACAGGCCCCCAGGTTAGGAGCCTTTCATTTAGAGAAACAAGTGAAGCAGGACCAGGACAAAGTTTTGGAATACATCCAAAGTTAGGGGGCATAAAATAAATGATGAGCCAGTAATGAAGACTAAGATGAAGTGGCCAGACAGGAAAGAAAAGAATTGAGAGTGAAACTCTCAAAAGAGATGTTTCCTGGAAAGAGAGGGTGGTTGATTTTCAGTGCCAAATGCTTCAGAGAGGTTCATAAGGATGAGAAGTGAGGAAACATATTAAATACAGCAATTAAGAGTTCATTGGTAACTTTGGAGAAAGCAGTTTCAGTTGAATGATTAATTAGGACAGAGGAGAGGTGAAAGCATCAAATGGAGACACCTTTTTCAAGGACTATGGCTGAGAGAGGATAGTCATAGGATGACAGTTTGCAAAGACAGTATACTCTAGTGAAGGTTTTTTAAAGGGTTTGGGAGACTTGATCATGTTTTCAGGTAGCAGAGAAAGAGGGCTTCTATTCTTCCTCTCCTTCTTCTCTACCTTTGTATTCAAACTCTGTGCACCAGGAGCCTTTCTCTGAGTAAGGAGGAGTATGACGAATGATTCAATCACTATTCATTCCTTTTGAATAATTTACACATAGGAATCATACATGCTTATTTTAAGTTTGTGATCCCACTGTATGGTCACCAATGAGTATGTTGTACAGCTCTGTGTGAGCTAGGATACTCTATTTATACATATTCACCAATGTGATTTGTTTCCAAGGCTAAGGTGCTTTATGAAGGATACTCTTTCTTGCTTCAAAAACAAGTAACAAACCATTATCCATGACTGAGTATTGCTTCAATAGCAACTATTATTTTGGGTAATTTGCAGTCCTGTAATGCTCAACTTTTGAAATCTTGATACAACATCCAGTTTTGACTGTGTTCTTATTTGAGGTTCTAACATGTTTGCTTTTATGTTTACAATTTCATAGGATATTCCACTTGATATCTCAGGACCTGTTGTATATTTTGGGTAAAGTCCCAGCAAACTACAACTTAGAAACTCTGGAACTCATCATTTTACTTATGCAAATGCTAAGCACCCTCCTCCCCTTTTGGAAAAAAAAAAACAAAGGCATCACCTCAAAGGCATTAAAATTCAGTATCTAAAACCCACTTTGCATCAAGAGTGAAAGCCTATTTCAAGCAATTTTTATCTATTTAATTTGTGCTAGATATAACACCTGGTAAACTATAATTAATAAACACAGATATATTTAACAAATACTATTTAATGATTTTATATATATATGTATACACACAGTCTCTATTGTGTATTTCTCTCTGTCTTCCTCTTTTCTCTCTAAGTTTGGAAGACATGAAAATGAAAAGTAATACATGGTACATGGTTATAAAAATAAATTTGTATACTAACGATTGAAAATTAATCTACATTTTGGAGGAAAACCACCACTAGACTCAAAATAGCAATTCCAATATATAATACATAGCTTGCAAGGTCCTTAAAGAACATATAATCCAACTCCCTAATTTTTTAAGGAAGAAATGGTTTGCCCACATGAGAGATGAATCTAAAATTCAAGTCTTCTGATTTCTAGGACTTTGTCAGAGCTAGTGGCTGGGCTCTGGGTGAAGAACAGGACAGGACCTCTTCAACCTGTAGGTGGGGGGGGAAGCAAATGGAGGAAAGATTGGTAACACTACTAGCTTTGTTACCAAAGAATTATTAACATCTCTCCATCCCCAACCAATACATAGACACAGTCTTTGGCACAGACATGAAATTAAGGAAGGATGGAAGAAAAGGACTTGGGGATGAGTGGTCCCAGACTGCAGCCAATGGAAGTGGAGTGGGAAAAGGGAAGGAAACACCACAGTATAAGGGAGGGAACATATCTGCTGTTGCAATAGGGACAGACATTCCAGAGATTCAGACACTGAAAGAGTGGATCTTTTCAACCTTCAGTGTCAACATGCAAGAGCCATGGTCTCTCCCTCAAGTGTGAATTCCAGAAGGTCTTTCTCCACATATTTCTGAAAAATGACACCTAACCCCTAAAGTATGTTTTCTGAGAGTTTTTTTTCCTTAACTGTTTTATCTAAATCAAATGTTTTATTTTTAAAATGTATGTTTTCTTCCTGGTCTGCTAGCCTGATGCAAAATGAATAGATAAATTCCTAGCTAAGTTGGCAGGGGGTGTTTACAGTCAAATGAGGTACATTTGCCATCCAATATACCCCACAGTGAATCCAGTAATCTATGTGATTCTAGAGTTGAGTAACCCTAGGGCCACAGGGCAATCTAATATAATCTTAGGTAAGATTTTATGTATTTTTTTTAGACATTACTGACATAGCATTATCATTTATATGCTTTTACTTTGATGCAGGAAATAAATTGATTTTCTGAATCTGCTTTTTCATTTGAAAAACAGAAAGTAAAGCACCATCTTTACAACTCATGTGACAAATTACTATTATGTAAAATATCCAACATACAGATCCTTTTAATATAATTGTCCTTTTTTTTTGTACACAAGCTTTCTAAAGAAGCAAGGTACATGGAAGCCTTGCCCAATTTCTGTTAGTCTTTCAAATAGGTGTATATGTATATACATCTCTCTCTCTCTCTCTCTCTCCATCTATTGAAAGAGAAAGAGAGTGATTTTATAGGTAATCCCCATTCCTTTGGAATGAGGAATGGAGTGTTTATATGTGTATGTCCATGTATGTGTATATGTGTATGAGTATATACCCTCATCCCAAGGGTATTGCAGTTATTTCTTATCATAAATGAAATCAGCACAATATATTAATTACTAACTAGACAATAACTGGGATAGGTGAGTTGGCTGAATTGTTATTAATAAGGCTCGAATGCTTTTCTTTTCACTTTTTTGGTGAGGCAATCAGGGTTAAGTGACTTGCCCAGGGTCACACAGCTAGTAAGTGTTAAGTGTCTGAGGCCACATTTGAACTCAGGTCCTCCTGACTCCAAGGCCAGAGTTCTATCCACTGTACCACCTAGCTGCCCCTTGAATTTTTTTTGAATCTCCATCTTTAATACAATGCCTGACACATAGTAAACACTTCATAAATATTTGTTGGCTAACTGACTGACTTCTCGTTTTAAAGAAGTTCACATGATGTTTTTGACCTTTTAAAATATTACTCTCTCAGAAGAAAGAAATCAGATATACTATTTTTAAATCAGGTCATATCTATAGATAGCCTTTTAGAATTAATGTAAAAGGCTTGTTTTAAAAAAATTAAAATTAAAATTTTCAGTAGTCAACAATGCAATATTCTTCTGACCTTTAAAACATGAGAATAAAATAGTTGAACTATTTAGACAGCGCATTACTAGGAGTAAGATCTCTAGAGATATGTACTTTAACCCTACTTCAGAGCACAACTGGCATTTACTTTGCACTTAGTAAATATTTTAACAGAAAATGGTAAATAGGATACATATTCTTAATCATACCATAGAATATTTTTCAAATAGTATAGATTCAAAATGAATAAATTACTTTAACTTCAAAACTAAAAATTTTCCAGGTAGAAATATATAATTTATAGATGAGGA